AATAATAAAAAAAAAAATGTATATATTTTTTTAAAACAAAAAAATACATTCCCTAACCCGAATAGTCAACACTTAAAGATTATTCTTTATTTAGCTTATACACAGATATGTATATGTATATAGGTATATGTATGTGTATATGTGTTCGTGTATAATTGTATATATGTGTGTATGTATATGCTACCATTTGGAAGTTGCCAGCCGTGTGGCACACAAATGGCAACTTAACGTTCAATGCAATTTGGTTCTTTGGTTGCCGTGGCCAATTATTTGTGCTGTTATCGTGGCCGTCGCCGTTGCCGTCAGACCCACAGAGAGAGAGAGAGAGAGAGAGAGAGAGAGAGAGAGATGGAGAGGGAGAGGGAGAGGGAGAGAGTTGTGCCAGCCGACGTCGCGACGTTGACGTTGGGAATCGTCTTGCGAGTCTTGCAAAACTTGCAAACTAACAGCGGCAGAGTTGCGGCGACCTTCTTCTGTTGACCTCAATTTTGGCCAATAAGGTTGCCGCTTTTTGCACATGCCATGGCAGGTGGCATGCCTTTTGCTGCTACTACTTATTGTTGTTGTCGTTGTTGTTACAGATTTTCTTTTATTTTTTTATTTTTTGGCAACAGATTGAAGTGCAAGGCACGAAGCCCAGTGGACTGAAGTGGACGGACAGCGAGTGCTAACAGCGCTCAATGCATTGGGCCAAGTCGAACTGACAATTTCGCTCAGTGTACTTGCGTATTTTTCGTCTATTTTCATTTTTAATGGCAATGCCGGGCATAATGAGCCGCAAGTACATATACATATATGCATCAATGTATGTGTGTGTGTGTGTGTTTGTATTGGAAGCAAAGCATGTTTTGTATGTGTGTATGTGTGTGTGTGTGTGTGAGTGTTTGGCCCATTAGGACTTGCCAACTCAGCGCGCTTTCTCCCTCTCTCTCCCCCCCCCCTCACTCTCTCTCTCTCTCTCTCCCTCTCTCTCTCTGTGTGTGTCTCGGCCAGCATTGACACAATAAAACTTTTTCAGCACATTTTTCATTCGTGCCGCTTGTGTTGCAAGTGTAGCATTCTGCATTTATTGACGCATTTTGCTCTTTTGCATATTTGCGGCAGCCGCGTTGCATGCGACAAATGAAACAGTTCAGTTCGCCTCGTCGTTCGTTTGGATTCGTTCGCTTGGTTCGTCACTCGATTTTTGTTTGCTTTTTGCATTTTGCATTTTGCCTTTCAGTCTGCTCTTCTTCTTCTGTTTTTTCAATTTTTTTTTTTTTTTTTKTTTTTTTTTCTGTTGGCCATTTTATGTCGTTTGGGGCAGCAAACATGCGACAATTCATCGATGGAAAACAAGTGCCACCCCCCATTCCCCCTCCCCACTGCCAACCCACAACTGCTGCACCCCACTTAGATCCAAATTGAATGGAGTCAAGTGCATTGCATTTGGCATACTAATAAATATATGTGTGCAGATGCATTTTGCAAAAAACGTGCCAAAAGCTTCAAATAAAATATTAAATGGTATTTAAAACTGACAATGGACGCCGACGAGCTGCATACGTGCTCAATGCAACTGCAAATTGACACCATAAACAATGAGGAAATGAAATTACAAATGAACGGATTTCCTACAAGTGTTCATCAATTTATGTTTTATGCACATGGCTCATTTGAATTCGCTCATATACCCTGTAAATAACCATAAATTGACGAGAAATATTAATTAATGTATGGGCAGTCAGATATTCGATAGGGATAGATATACTTAGAGGGAATACCCTTTATCTTGGGATGATGACTCATTTCATCTACCCTGTAATAATCATAAATTAACGAGAAATATTGATAAATCAGCAATTAAATAGGTAGAGCCAAATGTAGAGGGAATACCCCTTATAATTTAATATTTATGCACATTCGGAATTATAGCTCATTTCATCTACCCTGTAAATTATCATAAATTAACGAGAATTATTAATTAATCTAAGAGCTGTTAAATATTAAATAGGTAAAGTCATATGTAGAGGGAATACCCTTTATAAAATCTTATTTTATGTACATTTACACTCATATACCTGGTAAATGGTTTTTAATTAACCAGTAATATTAATTAATGTATGGATTGTTACATATTTTATAGGGATAGATATACTTAGAGGGAATACCCTTTATCTTGGGATGATGGGCCATTTCATATACCCTGTAAATAATCATAAATTAACGAGAAATATTTATTAATCTAAGAGTTGTAAGATATTAAAAGGTAGAGCCATGTGTAGAGGGAATACCTTATATTTATATTTTAAGCAAATTCGGCATGATGGCCCATTTTAAGTCACTCATATACCCTGTAAGTAGTCATAAATTAAGGAAAAATATTGGTAAATCCAAGTGCTTTTAGATATTAAATAGGTATAGATATACTTAGAGGGAATATCCTTTATTAATTTATATTTTATGTATACTGGGAATGATGGCTCACTCAAATGCAGTACTAAGGGGGATAGTTGAGTTGCACCTATTGTTGTAAGAGAGATTTCCAAGAGAAAAGAATTTTCTGTAATTGAATCAATAAATTAAAATTCTTTGCTCTGAATTGCCCTTCTATGCCATTCTCATGTACTCACGAAGATAAAAAATCCGAAATTCTTAGTTGAAAATAAAGTTAATTTTATTAACAGTGCAATACAAAATTGCATTTGATAATTTTTTTTTTTAGATTTTTGTGTGCTCCTTATGAATTACAGAATTTTGTAATGTCAATTTATGTCGATTGTTAAACTTATCATAAAATTTGAAATAGCTTTGTTGATTTGATCGCTTGAAATAAATACAATATCTACTACCTACGCTAAAAGCGGGTCTCAGCTCGAGTCGTAATCGAGCCAGTGAAGCGGGTGCTGTGCAACGGAATGCGGGAAAGTCCCACATTGTGACGGTTGTACGGTACTCGCTTCACTAGCGCGATACAGACAGTGCGGTGCTGGATCGATTGGAGACCCTGTAGCGTAGTCGTCTGGTGGAAGCCGGTACGGCCATCTTTCGCAGCATCATGTAGTCCTTGTTGAGCATGCGGCACAGCTCGATGAAGGTGCAGAGTTTGGGCGATTTGAGTTCCTTGGCCAGCACATAGGCGGAGTTGAGCACCTCCGCCTGCCGCTCGTACTTGCAGAGTATCGCGTGCGCCTTCGCCTGCATCATGGTGGCCAGGAATTCCCAGATCTTGCTATTCGCCCGCCTGGCCTCATCGATGGCGCGCTTCGCATAGAGCAGGCACTGCACCAGATGATTCTGCATCAGCAAACAGTCGGCAATCTCGAACAGCAAATAGCTACGCTCGATGGGCAGCTTGGAGAAGTAGAGGCGTCTATCCAGCGCCGCTTTGGCCATCCTAGATAATTCATATTCATATTTAATATCAATTATCTCCATGCTCATCTCAACTCAACTCACCTGAACGCCCTGACGTGCTCGTTGACAGGCATGCTCTCGTCATACACATACGACGGTCGCCTGCCAAACACAACTTGGTGCACCTCGGAGGGCTTGAATGGATTGACGCCAAGCAGGCGGCACATGGAATCGTTATCGTACGGCGACACCTTGTAGTTCGGTATATTATATGCCTCGCACAGGCTCAGCGCCAAGTGATTGTACACCTCGTTCATGAACTCTATTTTCCACGGCATTACCGCCTTCGTCTTCACCACAACAAACTCGCCCATTACCTTTGCCACAAACTTACGCAGGCGCTATTCAAATGATTATTAATTTCTACATTAATTTGGATAATCGACTTCAAGATAGAGTTGCAGAAAGTGCAACACCAGTAATTCTACGAGCTTACGAAGTCAAATTTTTGGGTATTTTATGTTTGTCTTACTGTCCCTGTGACTGTCCGTCCGATTACTATACATAACGGTATATACGACTGCTTATTGGACAGTCCCAAATGGTCGTCTGACTGTCCGTATGACTCTCCGTCGTATTGATTCCCGTACTATCTTTCCTACCGTCCATTTGAGTGATCAACTGTCCGTCCGACTGCTTGCTCGACTGTCCTAAATATTCGACTGACTGTCTGTCCGACTCTACGTCTCACTGCGTCCTTGATTAACTTTCCGATTGTCCGCTTGATTGCTTAACTGTCCGTCCGACTGCTCATTTAACTGTCCGACTAGCTGCCCGACTGTCTACCCGTCCGACTCTCCGTTCTACGACCCGCCTGTCAGTCTGATTGTCCGTCCACCTCCTCGTCTAACTGTCCTTCTGGCCGTCCGTCTACCTGTCTGAATGACTACACATCCGACTCTCTGTTCTACTACCCGCCTGATGATCTTTCCGACATTCCATCTGATTGACCGACTATCCGTCTGATTAACCGTCCGTCTAGCTATCCGTCTAACTGTCCGCTTAGCTGCCCGTCTGACTGTCCGCCTAGCTCTCCGTCTAGCTGCCCGACTGACTACCCGTCCGACTCTCCGTTCTACGACCCGCCTGTCAGTCTGATTGTCCGTCCGCCTCCTCGTCTAACTGTCCTTCTGGCCGTCCGTCTACCTGTCTGAATAACTACACATCCGACTCTCTGTTCTACTACCCGCCTGATGATCTTTCGGACACTCCATCTGATTGATCGACTATCCGTCTGATAAACCGTCCGTCTAGCTATCCGTCTCGCTGTCCGCTTAGCTGTCCATCTGACTGTCTGCCTAGCTATCCGTCAAGCTGCCCGACTGACTACACGTCTGACTCTCCGTTCTACGACCCGCCTGTTGATCTTTCCGGCTGTCCGCCTGATTGACCGATTGTCCTTATTATTGACCGTCCGTCTGCTCGTCTAACTGACCGTCTAACTATCTGTCTAGCTGTTCATCGGACTATCCGTCTAGCTGTCCGGCCATCCGTTGACTCACCTGCACGTCCTTCTGTTCGCGTATTTCGCGTATAGTGCGCAGTATCGATAGCATATGCCGACGCGCCTGATACTGTATGCGAAACATATTGGCCTGGTGGAGGCGATCCATGACCTTTGGGTTGGACAAGCGTTGGTATTGCTCGTTGTACATGGGACTGCGACAGTGCAGCATTTTGATGAACCTTTTCGTAGTCGTATAGGAATTATTTAAATACTCTCGCCGTTCCCTGGCGGACTTGTAGTACCTCTCCAAGAGCACAATCGGATTATTTCGAAGGTTCTTGAGGAAGGCAACATCTATCCAGGAGCCACTTAAATAGTTCTGATTGTAGATTTTCATCTTACGCTTCCGTCGTGCCATCTCCATCGGCGATATCCGGATATTTTTCCTTTCCTTATGGCTGTTCACGTCGCACTCATTGAGATCCTTGAGCGCCTTCCAGCGCGTGGCTGCTGGCATCATCTTTTCCGGCCTCAACGCCCCATCATGGATGCTGGCCATTCGCGCCATGTTCTTCAGAAGGAACGGACCCAGACTCTCACCCACATTGTCCTGAAAGTTGCTGTTCACAACCAGCATCCGACGACTGAACGGCATCCGTTTGGTGCCCTTGAGCAGGAGCGAATTGTTGTGCAGCGTCAACTTGTTCTCCTCGAACCTATTCAGATCGTAGAGCGCATCGGCCACCTGCAGATTGACGTAGGGATTGCACGGCGCCGCCTCAGACGCCCGTTGGCTGTCCCTCAATGCCTGCTCCGTATTGGCGATGCTCCGATTGAAATTGCTACGCATGCACAGCGCCACGTAACGATTCGCATCCTGGTCATCGATGCTCTTCTCAAAGTAATACATCGCCGCCGCATTGCGACGAACTCTGGCCAGGCTCTGGGCCCAGCTGCGCCACATCGAGCGATTCTGTTCGTCCGTCCATGGACTCACCTCCCACGGATTCAGAGGTGGTGCCATAGCGGCAGGCGGTACTGGCCAAAACTCTGACATGATGCCCCAAATTTTACTCAAATAAATTATATATTATAAAAAAAAAAAAAACTGCGCTTTTTGGTTAAGAAAATAAATGAAAAACAAAAACTCTTAAAAAAAGAAAAGAATTTCTAACAAAAATTATTTAAATTGAAAACAAATTTAAACGAAACTAAAATCCAAAGGTTTATATAAATGTATTAAAAAATAAAAATAAAAACGAAGCTATAATGACATTTATATACGGTATGCTTTGACTTTTTATTTACAATTTTTAACAAATTTTCTTATTGTAATTAAAAATAATTTTT